GAGTAGTTGGATATGTTCAACAAGCTTATTCTTGATCTTGAAAATATTGATGTCAATATCAAGGATGAAGATCAAGCATTGTTGTTGTATGCTTTTCCATATCACACCCTCACTTAAAAGATACTCTATTGAATGAAAGAGAGTCTCTGGCCTTTGAAGAAGTTTAATAAGCCTTGTATTCTAAGGATTTGAATGAACGAAAGGGCACAAGCCACTTTTGACTGATAAAGGTATGTAAGTTAAGTTTAAATTCACAAAGAGAGATGGAAAGTTTGACAAGAAGAAGGGTAAAAGTCAACATAAGTCTCATAATGGTGATGCATCTCGTATTCAATGTTATCATTGTAAGAAGGAGGGTCATACAAGAAAAGTGTGCCCTGAACGCCTGTAAAAAATCATGGAGGTAAGGATAGTGGCATCTTAGCCATTGTTCAATATGATTTCTACTCATATGATGTTCTCGTGGTTTCAATCAACGCCTCAAGTAAACAAGTGGATTATGAATTCAGGTTGCACTTGGCACATGACTCCAAACAAAGATTTGTTCGAGGAAATATGTGATCAAGATGGTAGATCTGTTTTACTGGGAAACAATAAAGCTTTCAAGATTGTAGGTATTGAATCTATTAGATTCAAGCTCCATGATGAGTTAATAAGGTTGTTAACTGAAGTCAGGTACGTACCTGATTTGAAGAGAAATTTGATTTCTCTTGGTGAGTTTTGAAAGAAAGGATATGTTTTCCAAAGAGAGAAAAGTATCCTAAGAGTCATGAAGGGGTCGAAGGAAGTCTTGTAAGGCGTGAAAAAACAAGGCTTGTATACCCTTGAGGACGAAGTTGTAAGGGGTTCAGCAGATGTCGCATCCATGAAACCTTTGTCGAAAAAGAAATCTAGCACGTGAGATTGGGCTATGTCAGTGAAAGAGGTATGGTCGAACTGGGGAAACAAAATCTTCTTGGTGGAGACAAAGTCAAAAAGCTGAAGTTTTGTGAACCCTGTGTACTTGGAAAATCTTTCATAGTGAAGTTCAATAGAGGCAAACAAAGAACACATGGATCTCTTGATTACATTTATATTGATCTTTGGGGGCTTGTAAGGTGTCTATCACATTCAGGAGCATGGTATTTTCTATCCATAGTTGGTGATTATTCTAGAAAGTTATAGGTATTCATCTAGAAGACCAACGATGAAACTTTTAAGAATTTCAAAAGTTGGAAGACTCTAGTCGAAAATCATACTGCCAGAAAGGTCAATAGGTTAAGAACCAACAATGGCCTTGAATTTTACAATGAGGCGTTATATAGTTTTGTGCAGCCTCTAGTATTGCAAGGCACATAAATACCGCAGATACTCCCTAACAAAATGGTTTGGATGAAAGGTTTAATCTAACCATTTTGGAAAGAATTAGATTCACGTTGACTAGTGATACATTAAAGAAGGTGTTTTAGGAAGAGGTTGTTTTGACAACAACATATATGATATACACAGGTCCTTCGACTATGTTAGATATGAAGACACTTGAAGAAGTTTGGTTGGGACATCCACCAGATCTCGACAAAGTTAGAGTATTTTGTTGTGTATCCTATGCTCATATTAGGAAAGACAAGGCCGAACTTAGAGCTCTGAGATGCATGTTCATGGGATACCCTAAAGGAGTCAAAGCTTATAGGCTATGGTGCCTAGAGTCAGTTTACAGAAGGTGTATTACCAGTCGAGATATAGATTTCAATGAAGCTGAGACGACTTTCAAGAAAATTGATGACGTTGGTCAAAGTGCGGAGATATCTTAAGAAGAACTGGAACATAAATAGATTCTTGTCGAGGTGGAACATGTCGATGTTGAATTACATATCCCAATTTAAATCGAAGAAGAAGCACGAGATACTAAAGATTCTGAGGAAGTTGAGGAAATTTTCGATGACTACCTGTTATCAAGAGATAGGCCAAGATGAGTCATCATCAAACCACCTTAGAGATTTAGGTATGCGGATCTCATAAATTATGTCTTAATCTCTACAAGTGAGGTTCTAGATGAAGAACCTAGAGACTATAAGGAAGTTATGAGGAGTCGAAATAATACTGAATGGATGAAGGTCATGGATGATGAGATAAACTCTCTTCATGATAACCACACTTGGGAACTGATCAAGAAACCTTGTGGATCCAGGTCAGTCAGTTGTAAATGGACTTTCAAAGTTAAGGAAGGAATCAAAGGAGTGAAGTCAAAGAGATACAAGTCAAGATTAGTTGAAAGGGGTTTCACTCAAAAAGAAGGTGTCGACTTTGTTGATGTGTTCTCTCCTGTTATAAAGCACAAATCCATTTGAATGGTACTTGCTATGGTGGCACAATTCGACCTAGAACTGGAACAAGTGGATGTGAAGAATGTTTTCTTGTATGGACATCTAGATGAAACAATCCTGATAAGGCAACCTGAAGGGTATAAAGAAAAGGGAAAGGAAGATTGTGTGTGCAAGCTGAATAGATCTTTATATGGACTGAAACAATCTACTCAACAGTGGAGTAGGAGATTCTACATGTTCATGGCACACATAAGTTTCATTAGAAGTCAGTTCGATCATTGTGTTTACTTCATATTTTGACCTGTAAATTCATTTGTTATCTTGCTGCTTTATGAGGATGATATTCTAATAGCGAGCAATAATGTCTAAGATATAATGAAGGTGAAGGATGGACTCAATAAGGATTTTGACATGAAGGATCTGGGAGATACATCCATGATTTTTGGAATTGAAATTCGAAGAGATAGAAAGCAATCTAAGTTATGCTTATCTCAAGCGACATACCTACGGAAGATTCTGGATAAGTTTGGTATGTCGAATTTAAAGCCTCTTGTGACTCCAACAAACCCTCAACTCAAGTTGAGTATAAATCAGTGCCCCAGTATTGAGGTTGAAAGAGATTACATGAATAACATATCATATGATAACATAGTAGGTTATTTAACGTATTATATGGTCTGTACTAGACCCGACATAACATATGCAGTAAGTCTTGTAAGCAGGTACATGGAGAATCTTGGAAAGGCTTACTGACAAATATTGAAGTGGATTCTAAGGTACATAAACGAGTCTCTAAATAGAGTCCTAATTTATGGTAGATAATATGGTGAAGATAGTAAATCAGTAATTGAAGGATATGTTGACTCTGATTATGCAAGTTGTATGGATTCTAGAAAATATATTTCTGGATATGTGTTCACTATTGTTGGCACAACAATACGTTGGAAAGCGACACTTCAGAAGTTTGTCGCCTTATCAACCACTGAAGAAAAATACATTCCCCTCACTGAAACTACGAAGGAAGCATTGTGGCTTGAAGGTTTTGCTAAGGAGATAAAACTTCAAGGTCAAGTCATCACTGTTAAATGTGATAGTCAAAGTGCAATACATTTGTCAAAGAATTTGGCCTATCATGAGTGAACCAAGCACATCGATGTGAGGCTGGATTTCTTCATAGGGGTAATCGAGCATGGATAAGTCCAAGTGGTGAAGGTTTTGACGGATCATAATGTTGTTGATATGATCACCAAAACATTACCAAGTTGCAAGTTTTTCCACTATATACAGTTGATAAAGCTGCATGAAGAAAGCTAGTTTGTCCTCTTGATGTTATAGAGTTTTTTTCCAAGGTGGGGGATTTTTGAGATGTTGGATCGAAATTTATTATGATCGAAATTTATTATGGTCGACAATTTGATAGGATCTTAGCAATGTCGTTGAAGTCTGTTCACATGATGTAGTTGAAGCCCTGCAATATTGTAGTCGAAGTATACTCAAGTATGTAGTAGTTGAAATACTAGGATTATTAACATGTCAAATTGGGTTTTTTTTGTTAAGCCCAATTGTTTAAGTTAGATTGTTTTCTAAGTTAGCTTGTGTAATGGGTGTGTGTGTAAAAGCTCATTAGTTTAGTGTGTTATTTTTCTTATAAGTATCATACTAGTCTATCATCATTGCAACAACATAAATCTTAGTTAGGGTGAGAGCAGTTATTTGTTATTCTATAACACTTGTAATCTTGTTTTAAAGAGAAATTAAAAAATAGTAGTTTATAACCAATTTCATTATTTTCGTCTGCATCTTCAAGATTTCTTAGTATTCAAAAATCCGTTTATACTCTGCTCTTAGCATCGTTTTCACAACACTACTCACATGTGAATATAAGTGTGATAGTTCATCATATATTTTCTTTGAGTGAAAAATATATCCTTTTCACATATTTAGGGCATGTTTGCATAGTCCTTATTTTCAGTTTATAGCAAAAGTGCTTATCAAAGTAAGCGCTAATATATAAGTTTGTATAAATGATTTTTACAACAAAAGGTAAAATAAATTTAAATTTTATATATGTTATAAGCTATTTTTAAATTATTTTGAAGAATTTGTGAAAATACATATTAAAAAATATTATAAGTTGTCTCAAACAACGTCACAATATTTATGTCATTAGATAAGCTTAAGTTAATTAATCATCTAAAAAGATCAGTGAAGTAACTCAATTGATATATGATGATCGAGTGTAAATTTAGAATTTATATTACATTAATTCAAAAGTGAAAAAGTTAACTTATTTTTTTGTTGGTTTTTTAACGTCAATTCTATGAAACAATTAAGCTCAAAAATATTATTTTCTTAAATTTAATTTTCATAAGAATTTTTTAATTTGGTTAATTAAGTCCAAAAATATTATTGAAAATATCATTTAGAAATTATAAAATTATTACCAAAAGTTTTCAATACACAAAATTCGTAAATAAATTGTAGAGTTTAATTCAAGCCTTGCTTACATATAGTTCCATCCAAAAGGATCATAATGTGCTGACATAAATGTTTTATTCAAAGAAAGAAGAAAAAGAAAAACAAAACTAGCAGCGATAATAATTATAGCGAGGATTAAGGCTCTCTTTATTTTAAGTGTTTATTTTATTTTATTTTATTTTAATGACCATAATTTGAAATAAGCAAAAGCCACGCAATTCATACGCGAGGCTCGTACTTTCGAGCCCATATGTGTTTTCCATTGATTTGAAGCTTGGCAACACGTTTTCCAGATAGAATTTGATCCACATTTTCCATCTTTTTCAAAACCATAATTGCAAACAGAGGTTGATCATTCTTGACATGATTTCCTCCCATGATCAAACGCTGCACACAATCCCCATAATCAGTTGTGAACAAGCACCTCACCTCTATATCTGATACGGGGAAGCCTCTAGAAAATGTGAGAAACAAGGATTTATCATCATTTGTAGCATCATCATAGGATTTCTTTTGAATCCACATGCTTCTATCAGACAAATTGAGGTTCTCGATTCTTGGTAACAAATCAAAGCTGCCAAATAAAGGGTGAGGAAAACCTGGAAGAATCAAAGGCGTGTTGAATGTGTGGGTTTGTGATGTGGTACTACCTCGTGTTTCGATTATGTATTTCCTTTTCAAAGCTATCTGTAAAACATCGTTAAAAACTCGAACACATGTCTCGTTTAGAACGGTTTTAATGCCAATTATTATTGTATACCTTCTCGAGATAAACATTTCAAGAGAGATGTTCTTATTCATGAGCATTTCGCTCAAGGGCAAACCACCTCCATTAGGGATAGGAAGGTCATCCCTCTCCAAAAATTGCAAGCAAGTCAGAGCTTCAATAACTAGGGCATTGATAAGGGTACCTTGGAGAGATGCTACTTTATGGATAAGGTTGTGGCACCCAATTTTTTCAAGCCAAAGCCATAGTGCCATGACTAAAATAGATTGAGTTACTTCATAGTGAAGTTTGAAGATCAAAAAACAAAATAGCTCACGATCAATTTGATAAAACATGTGAAGCTCTTTTGTGGTGATAGGAATTTGTGTGACAAATAAAGGTGGTACCATGCTTGTGATGAAAATGGGAAATTAGGATGTGTGTCATTAGTGAAATACCATATTAATATATATATATATATATATATTATATAT